TTTTTTTTTTTTTTTTTGAAAGTTATATTAATAGCGGTCAAGATGGTCGGGATCATTTATTTTAATAAGCTGCTGATCGAACAGCGTTGCCTCCTAATCGTTAAAGCTCTGGCTGAAGCACTACCCTAGGGAGAAGGGAAAAGTGGTTTTTGATGTTTCCTTCTATGCTGTATTCTGGCGGGCTAGGAAACTACCAGACTAGGATTAAAATGACCGATCCAAGGCTGTTAGGCAGGAAGGAATTATACTGGTCACGTCAACTGGCTTTTTGAGAGACAGCTGAAGTCCATGGCCTGATTGATTGATTGACTGATTGATTTGGGGTTTTTTGAGACAGGGTCTCGCTATGTAGTGCAGGATTGCCTTGAACTCACTTTGTAGTCCAGGCTGGTCTCGAACTCTCAGCGATCCTCCTGCCTCAGCCTCCTGAGTGCTGGGATTACAGGCGTGCACCACCACACCCAGCTTTTTCTTTTCGAGTCAGGGTCTCGATACGTTATCCAGGTTGGCCTTGAACTCACTGTGTAGCCCAGGCTGGCCTCGAACACACAGCGATCATCCTTCCTCAGCCTCCAGATTATTGGCAGATTATTGGTGGTGCAAGGCTTGCACCACCACGCCTTGCCTTATAACTCAAATTCTTATACACAGGGTGGGCACAATACTTAGTTTAGGTTGTTGTTGTGGGGACTAAACGAGTCATTCTAAACTGGGACTAGTGGTGCACGCCTGTCATCCCTGCACTTGGGAGACTGAAGCAGCAGGATCACGGAGAGTTCAAGGCCAGCCTGGACTACACAGTGAGTTCAAGGCCAGCCTGAACTACATAGCCAGAGCCTGTCTCAAAACAAAACAAAAAAGTTATTCTACCTTTAGAGCAGCACTGAAAACATGATGAAGGAATGAGGTTAAACTCTCAGTGAGTATAACTAATTTCTCCCCAAGCTCCAAATCCTTCAATGCTGAGCTTTTTGGGGGCTGACCCACCTTGCCGGCACCGCTCCTCTTCGAGGGGCGCGAATGCTTTCGGTTTGCCAGTCTAGGGCAGAGAGATGCTAAACGCACTCAGAGCTCCCTGGCCTGTCCACGGATGGTTTGATGTGCACCCGCGCCTTGGAACCCAGAAGGGTCGCTCAGCGGCGCTGGGTCCCCGTCCTGCGAGGGCAGCTGGTCACAGCCGGGAGCCCTGTCCCGCTCCTCGGGGCTGGGCGAGGGGTCCCCAAACCTGGGGCCGCCCGGGGCGGCAGGCCCTCCCGAGTGCACTCAGCCCGGGCTGCAGCAGGCGACCGCAGACAAAGGGGCTTCGAGCCCGGCCCGCCGGGTCCCAGGCGGTCCCCACCCCACCCCCTCGTGCGCCCCCGCTCCGCGCCCCTTTGTCGTTCGTCTCGGAGGCGGGTGGTGGTGGCGAAGGCGCCGCCCACGGGAGGGGACACCCCGGGTGAGGGGGCGTGTCTCCGTCCCCGTCCCCGCCAAGGAGCGCGCCTGCAGGGCCGCGCGCGGGCCGTGGGCGACGAGCGGGGCCGCGCTTCGGCCCCTCGCTCGGGTCTTCGATGCGGGGGCGGGGCTAGGCGCCGGCGGCGGCCTCCGATTGGCTGTGGGTATCGGGGCGCCG